CAGTTCTCATTCTTTTGTTGTGCCATCTACAGTGTAGCTATGGTCATTGTCAGGCTTCATTTCACCCTACTTGTGCTAGAAGTGCTGGTTTCTTCATGACTTTGAGGACCAATGGTGGCAAGTTGCAACATAAGGCTTACTGTGGAAGGCATAGTGCAGATCAAAGAGCAAAGGTTTCTATAATTTTTCCTTTCAATTGTCTCGCATTACTTCAATATTAACTTGTAATTTCACATTGAGTTTTTCCTTAATTATTCCTTCAGGCTGACACTCGGAAACATGGGATTGAGGAGTTTAAGTCTCTGAAGCAAGTCAGGGTAAGTGATATTTGTCATTTATGTTTCTTTATTATGAATTCGACAGTCCAGTTACCGCCTGATGGAATACAAATGGATGCATATATTGGCGGTGTTTTTTTTGTTGGAAGTTATAAGCTGAGTACATAAACATTTTCCCGTGATGGAATACAAATGGAATGCAGTTTGAGGAACCTTTTTTCTTATATATAATTGTAACAGGAGCAATATCTTGGTGGTTTTTCTCTTTACCAATATTAAATATTTCCTCTCATTTTTCGAATGTATAGTACAACTATCTGATGTATATATGCTTCCATGCTTGCTCCATTTAGGTTGAATTGGAGAGACTGCGCCTTTTATGCGAAAGGATTATCAAAAGGGAGAAATTGAAAGTAAGCTAACTATTTCGAGAATCTTCAGTTCTAGTTTTGCTTTGGTTATATTTTATACCTTACCTCCATGGCCTTTTGCATGGAATGGATATCTTTAGGCCTGTATTCAATTTCAACTTTTAGAGACTTTTTATGATTTTCAGAATTCTGGTGTATTCAATTAGAACTTTTAGTGACTTTTGAAAAGTTTACATGTATTCTCTGATAGTCTCAAAAAGTCCACTAAAGTCCTGAAAGTTTTACAACGTCCACAAAAGTCACCAAATTTAAAAAGTTTTAAAAGCTCTTAAGAATCTCAATTGAATACAACCTCTTAGTTTCAATTCCATTTTTCCTTTATCTCTAGTGATAAAATCTATATATCTATATAATTGCTAGCAAAGCAATTAATAAAACCTCATTTACTTTATTATCTTTTTCTTTTACTATATAATTGCTTGCAAAGCATATTTACTTTATCATCTTTTTCTTTTAATTAAAACCTTAAACAACTCACTAATCAATGAATATTTAATATCTCTCTCTATACCTATGTATAATTGCTAACAAAAAATTTAATAAAATTATTTAGATTTTCCACCATTTTTCATTACTATCCAATATATTTTTGAAACCGATAACTGAAACTTAATCAGTTACTTTTTTAATATAATGGTTAATTAAAGTGTAATCTTGCTTTTAATTATTTTATTATATAATAGTTATTACTAAAACTAACCAATTATAATTCACGCTTAATGATATATGAAAGTTGAATAAGTATAAAATATTATATTGAATTTTTTTCTTAAACTATTTATTGCTCTTAAATATTTTTTTAATAAGCTAATTGTTTTTAGTGGTAACAAACCTATTAAACCTTTAATAATAATAATAATAATAATAATACTTTTATGATAATTAACGGGTCATGATCTTTCAAATTTATAAAAACTACCTTATCCATTTCGTTTTATGTAATCAATATAGTGATGAAGTTGAATACTTTTATAATGTTTATTTTTATTAATGACAAAAATTTTAAATGTGATACTATTATCTAACTTGTAATTTTAATATTATATATGCATATAACTTATAATATTTAAACATATGTATGTGCACAGGATCGAATACTAGTATATATAATTGCTAGCGAAACATTTAATAAAATTATTTTCGTTTCTCGCCTTTTTCCGTTACAATTCTATGTTATTGTTGTTGTTGTTATTATTATTATTATTATTATTATTATTATTTTTGCATTAATCCACCCTATCACATAAATGCTAAAATATTTCCGTTCTTGCTCTTTTTTTAGGTTAATTAAGACAAAAACTGTTATATGATATGTTAATTGAATAATAATTATATTTTTCTATTTGATCATACCATATAATGGTTATTGTTAAAACTAACTAATTACGTTTACACTAAATGATATATGAAAGTTACATAAACATAAAAAATTATATTGTAAAACTTTTTGTTCAAGATATTTATTCTAAAATCAACATGGTAAATTTTCAGTTATAAGAAAATATACATTATTTTATATCTCAAAATTATAAAAATTACATTATTAAATACATTTATGCAATCAATAAAAAGATTCATATGTAATTCAATAGTTATGATCCAATACTAGTACATGAACTAACCTTGAGCTTTGCTTGATAAATCACAAATCAGTACATAAATATTTCTTTTTCTGCTTTGCGCTTTTTCAGCGTGAGTTGGTCATTTGCTCACACAATATCCTTGCTTCGAACCGGGACACTGTTCTCTCTGCCTTGGCTCGTCACCCATTTTACCAACCCGAAGTAAGTTCTGAATCTGCCACGACCTCTATCAAAGGTCATACTGATGATGGCTGTAAATCGGGCAGTGAGTTGGTGCAGAGATCGGATGATGTGACGGTTGATAGCACGGTTGCCGGCAAAAGACGTGTTAAAATTCCAGTGCCGGTGGAAAATGATCGGAAAACGGATGACAGCTCAACATCACAGAGCCTTTACATGCTAAAACCCATGGAGAGGGTATCCTCTTCGGGGAAGCAAATCCCCAAACGACTGTTGGCCGCATCTCGAAACCCCTCGGACGATGACGATAAACGGACAAAACATAGAAAGGTAAGATTTACGATGGTTTTAAGGCTATTACAAAAATGTCCCCGGGGTTTTGGCTTAATTCCAAAAGAACCCAGCAAACTTTTGCAATTAGAAACCCTGATTTTTATTTATTTATTATTATTATTATTATTATTATTTTTTTGAAATCTACCATCCTGCATAAGCTAAGAAACATTCCAAAACCCCGTCACATTTTATTACAATATTGCAATTAGGCCCCTTGATTTGTACTCTGTTAAGCGTTATGGATGTTGGTTTGAAATTATCTCAGTTTTAGGCTTTAGCTACAAGAAACTGTTGATATTTAAGTTTACTCCACCCAAAAGTACAAAATCGGCATTGATCATTATCTTTCATATAGGAAACTATTCGCTGATATGATTTGATTTTTGCGAAATACAATTTGATGGCTGGCCCTTTTTTTGCGAAAACTATTCACCGATATGCTTTCATTTTTGCGAAAGGTAAGTTTTACGATGGTTAAGGTTATTACTAAAATATCGCTGGGGTTTGGCCTAATTCCAAAAGAACCCAGCAAACTTTTGCAATTAGAAACCCTGATTTTTTTTCCCTGAAATCTACCCCCTATAATCTACATAAGCCAAGAAACATTTCAAATCCCGGTCACGTTTTATTACAATATTGCAGTTAGGCCCCTTGATTTACGCTCTGTCAAGTTTATGGATGCTATTGTAGTTTTGAAATTATCTCCGTGCTAGGCTTTAGCTACAAGAAACTGTTGATATTTAAGGTTGTGTTTGGTAAGCATATAGTTTAAGCTTATTTGATTAGCTTATAAGTTTCCTGTCTTCAAATAAGCTTTGTTTGGGAGGGCGAGCTTTTTAAAAAAACTCGAGCTTATCTCATAAGCTTCTCTCTAGGTAGCTTTTCAAATAAGCCATTGAAAATTTTATTTCAGCTAACTTACAGCTAATTTTATTAAATATTTTTATCATATAAGCTAATTTTTCAACCATAAGCCTAGCTGATAGGCTCGAAATTCACTTAAAAGCTATAAGCTAGTTTATCAGCTAGGTTTACCAAATATAATACTCGACACATAAGTACAAAATCAGAATTGGTCATTATCTTTCATATAGAAAACTATTCGCCCATGGTCCCATACGATTTCATTTTTTCGAAATACAATTTGTGATTAACCGGCCGTTT